TGTATACATCCTGCTTAAATAATAAATAGGTTTCGGATGGGGTGGCCAGGAGAGTGCTTGCACTACCTTTAATGCCTTTAATGGGCTTCTATCCTTGGTGTCTAATCATGGTGGCTAAATAGGTGTTCTCCTGGACACCTCACACCACACCTTGCTATGAGGAAGGAACCCCTTGCTCAGAGAGGCAGGGGAGAGGGGAAATAACATCAGTGGTTGGGTGTTCAGCTGGTAGCTGGCAAGCAGGCAGGCAGTTAGGCAACTGCTGCCCAAGACAGTTATCTGAGCTTGTCTTATTATAGTGGCAGCCCTGAATGGAGATGGAGCAACCACCCATCAATCTTTCATCCTCTGGCTCATGACAGCATATTGTCTGACTGCACCATTTAATGTCCCTCCATATACAATAAATATATCCTCACCTACAGCATGTCAAGAGAAGAGTAAGTTAGTTTCTTCCTGCCTGGCATCTAGTTTTCTATGAGCATTCCATTGTATGAGCCCTCACATGCAATCTGAAGTGATACAGTCCAGGTACGGGGTTTATCACTTCATCTACTCTTTTGTGAGGAGTAGTCTTAGATTCTTTAGGAAAAACAGAAACTGATCTGCGATCAGAAGGTCAAATAGATATAATCCAGTGCAGAGGCAAAAGTAACACTAAGAGGCTGTTATAGATACTTTGCAAAACGCACGCACATCAGCATTACCAACACAACTACCATTCTTCAGCTGATAGACCTCTTGTTTTTATAGTCTTGGTACACTTTTGCTCATCAAACCATGAATTTATACCAGGTTTAAAAGCCAAGAGTCAGCAACTAAAACAGCAAATGAGTTTTTGAACCATGGGGGCCTGACCATATTCTCAGAAAAGCTGCCATATCCCAAACCATCCTTAAAACCAAAGGGCAGAGGTTGACCTTCCTGAATCGTTGCCAAGGTCTCTGTGGGACAAACTGAGTATCAGTGCTACTCATTTACCCCAAAACAGACTATTGAAGATCCTTGTGTACTGCTAGACTGAGACTTGATAGAAACCTTTGTATTCGTTTTTGCCTCTCTAAAAACCATTGCATGCATTTTTGTTTTCTGAGAAAGGAAGTGCACACTGAGGTTCCCCTCAAGTCCATCATGCCACAAGAGCATTGCACTGCGAGACTTCCGGGTTAGCGCCTCTGGCAATGGCGGATTTCCTCTGATCGGAAGGAATCCGCTCTGTGGAAATCAGGGTCTAACCGCCACGGCGAGGCGGAGACCCACTAAAAACCACAGGCGGGAGAAGCCTGTGGACGTGGGATTCGGCTGGCACCTTTTGCGCCTCCCCTACTCGCGGGGAAACCCGGTTTCGGGGATCCGGAGCGACGTGGGGTGAGCGGCGCGGTGCTTCGAATCGACTGCTTCTTTCACGGAGTGAAGCCGCATTGCTGTTGCCGGAGAGCGCTGACTTTTTCCTGTGGACAATTGGACTCTAAACAACTACCCGTGAGTAGAACGGAAAATTGGATTTCTAAACTTCTTAATTTGGCATTGAAACGGGAAGGTCTCAAACAGGAAGTCCGCCTTCCTCTTTTGTAAACAGAGTAAAGCAAAGACGTTGCAAGCTAAAGCCTGGAAAGTTTTCTGTAAAGGATTAAATCTCCATCGGTTAAAATAACTAAACCCCCCTTGGAAGCAGGAGAAGAGGGGGGAAATTCTATTGTTTAAGCCTGCAGGAGAGAGAGTGAAGAAAGATAAATCACCACCGTTTCGAACCTGGGAACGGACTGTCAGTAAGATTGACGCTTTGGGAAAGTTCATTGACTGAGAATAAAACGATGTTGACAGATAGTTAAATAAGAGTAATACATTGTTTCAATTGCTTCCTTTTACATTTAAAAAGGAGGAAAAAAAGTAACTGAAAATTGAAACTAGCTCGGTGGCTGGATCTGTGCTTAAAAGGATGGATACAAATAAAAATTGTTTCCTTTAGAGGGAGCTTTTGGAACTGTTGCAGGAGTGGAGCTGGGGAATTTTCCAGCTGTAAAGATTAAAGAGTGTGAGAACTAGAGTTTGACCTTGGACAAGAATGTTGACAGAAGAAGCCCTAGTGATTGCATTTTGCAAGACAAGTGCTTTATTGGAACAGCTGCATGAGAAGATGGACGTGAGGATTACTAAAATTGACAATTTGGGACAAAAATTGACTGAGTTGGGACAAAAAGGGAATACCTATACAGAAATTACTCAGGATTTGACCCAGGAATCTGTTTTGACATGGCAAGCTGTGGAGAAGACGAAGGAGAAAGTTGTTGTTGAATCTCAAGTAATTCAAGTGGAGGGAGCCCCGGCCTCCCAGAGGCAATTTGATGAACATAAGCTGTTGCCTTTTATGATTGAATCTAGAGAAAGTCAGATTTGGTGGGATGGAGCCCTGCTTGGATTGGAGAAGGAAAGTTGGCTAGATCCTCCTATGCAGGGATGCTCTGGCCTTTGGGACCTGGATTTGGGTCAGGGGGAGAGTGGCGCTCTGAAATATCTTTTGGACTTTAGTTCTGACTATGGAGAATGGGCTGACCTGTTGAGAAGGAATAAAGACATTGCTAGGCTGGAGCTCCCCCGAGATCTACTCCTCAGTGCTAAAGGAAGGAAACTAAGAACAAGATCAGCAGAAGACAGAATAATGTGCATGGATATATATGAAGAAGATCTGCAGAAGGGACAGGGAAGAGAGTTAAGAGCCTCGGACAGAAGGTCACCAGGTTAATGGGCTATATGGTATTGACAGAAAGGGATGACAGAATCCGAGACCAGGGAGAGGAGAAGGTGGAATAGGATTGGGGGGGGAAAGCATAAAAAAAAAATTTTTATTTAGAGAAATGTTGCAAAATTAATGAGTGTTAGAAAAATGTTGGAATGAAATTATACGGCTTTAGTAGAAATGTTATAAGGAGTTAAGTACAAATAAGTTTTAGGGTATTAATGGTAAGATAAGGTTAAAATAAATTATGATAATTATATGATAGAAAATAGTGAAAGATGGAAAGGATTTGCTGAAACAATTAATAACTAGAATACAAAAAGGGAGGTGTGAGGAGGTCGATGAAACAAGTTAATGAAAGATAAAGATATGGAAATATTGGATATGTTTTTAACTGTTTTTGCTTTTGTTTTTGTTTTGATGTATCATGTTTTTTATGCTTTTTTATGTATATGTATTGTAATGTGTTGATTTGTACTGTTTCTTTTTTCTTTCTTTTTTCTTTAATTCTTAAACTTTTAATAAATATTATTTTTTAAAAAAACCAAGAGCATTGCACTGCTTGCCTTTGCATTGCCATGACAACAGTCGCCATTGGGAAACACAGACTGGACTGCACATCAGTCAAGACTGAATGATACGGCTCCCCCAATCCAAGATTATTACTTTTCATACTTGGATTGTGTTGGTCCATTGGTTGGGGCTGTTCCTGGCAGTGCCTACTAATTTTGCACTATAGACAAGCAGTAAGAGGGCTAGTGTAGCAGTGGAGATCCTACCCCACACAGTGCTGATTCTGGACTCTAATTCTTTTGTTTGATTATTATTTTGTGTAGCCTTGGCTGAGTCATGCTATCTTCCAGAACCTAAATGAAATAGGGCAAAATATGACTGACCCTCCATTTTCTGAGCTAATTCTAGTGTATTGGACATAGAAATTTTTATGCTACATGGATATGCAAAGCTCTGCAAAGTTCAGCCTTTAGGTAGCCTACAGACTTGAAGTTGAACTTGTAATGGCTCTGCAAGCTGAGTCACCTATGCATGTGTCCAAAAATACCCATATTGAAACAGTGTCATGAGTAAAGCCGCTTGAGTACAGCACTTTGCAGTAGCTCCAATATCATTATAGAATTATGAACTCTTCGGCTGATCGCCAAAGAATTGATGCTTTTGAATTATGGTGCTGGAGGAGACTCTTGAGAGTCCCATGGACTGCAAGAAGATCAAACCGATCCATTCTTAAGGAAATCAGCCCTGAGTGCTCACTGGAAGGACAGATCATGAAGCTGAGGCTCCAATACCTTGGCCACCTCATGAGAAGAGAAGACTCCCTGGAAAAGACCCTGATGTTGGGAAAGATGGAGGGCACAAGGAGAAGGGGATGACAGAGGATGAGATGGTTGGATAATGTTCTTGAAACTACCAGCATGAGTTTGACCAAACTGCGGGAGGCAGAGGAAGACAGAAGTGCCTGGCGTGCTCTGGTCCATGGGGTCACGAAGAGTCGGACACGACTAAACGACTAAACAACAAGATAGATCAGGTGCACTGTATCCAGAGAAGAGTTAAAATCATCTGCCTTACACTATTGATGAACATGGAGGAAGCATCTTATTTGTTCTGTTTGAGTATTATCTACTTTTATTAGTGTGCTTCTGAATTTTTAATAGACTTCCCTTAGTGTCTGAACAATTTGTCTATAGCCCAGGCAAACCACTTCAGCATTATCCATTAATTTTGAAATGGCGGCCTTTGTTCAGCCTGTAATAGGGTGCAGCTATTATAGCATGCAATTGTAAAACAAAGCCCCAGTTTTTAGTGTCTGTTACTTTGGCCTGTGACCAGGGATGGTTATTGTTATGTCAGTGCCATGATTCCTTTGGTTGCAAGAGAGATCTTTCCTCCAGTGACAGCCCTCTGGGTAGTAGAAGGAGAGAGAAAAGGGGATGGGAGAAAGAGGAAAATAGTGGTCCCATCCACTTTGGGTTGTGGCCATGGCCCACGACAGATTACCCCAATGGAATGTGGTCCTCAGCAGAATCTGGTTCTCAATCACTGTAGTAGCCAGAGGCTAACTAGACGTGACACAAAGGCACATGTAAGTGAGCCCCAAACACATGGTTTTTAAAAACCACTGAAGGAGGGGGAAATTTTGAGTGAAGGTCTTGAGGGAAGGGCATGTCACTTAACCATTTTCTTGCTTGTTTTTTTTAAAATGACCTCCTCTTGAAGCAGTTTTTTATTTTATTTTAAAGGAATTGGAAGTTTATGCTCAGCTGACAGAACATGAGACTCTTAATCTCAGGGTCGTGGGTTTGAGCCTCACTTTGGGTGAAAGATTCCTGCGTTGCATGGGATGGATAAGACTATCCTTGTGGTCCCTTCCTATTCCACAATTCTGTGCTTTTAAGTGCAGTTAGCCACTTAGATGTGAAACATTAACTATACTCTTCTCTTCTACACATCTGCCATGGAGTGAAAGATCTAGAAAGCATGAAGCAGAACTTTAAACATATATTACTAGGCATTGGGGGAAAATTCTTCTCAAGAATCCAAGTGAGCTTCCCACAACAAAGAGTCTTATAGGTATCACAGGGATCTTTGTCATTCTTACATCTTTAGAATGTGATGAAATATTCTCAGTTATGCAGCTTTCCTAAGGGAAGTCATAATTCCTTGCCCATTCCATAATTCTGTGGCTTAGTAGTTGCTTTCTCTTCTCCTTTCAGTTGACATATCTTCAGCTTTCTTTCCTGTCCATGTCTTGGCAGGCTTCATTTGTCATGCTCTTCTTAATATTTTCCTCCCTGTAAGACTTTCCTTAGCATTTCCCCCTTGTAGGTCTTCCTGTCTTCAGGAGACTCCTAATCAACCTCAGCTGGGGGAGGTGATGGACTCTTGATTGCAATAACAGAGTAGCTGCTTCAGTCCATTCATCCCCATTATGTGGCAAACTTGTTATCTCAAAGGAAAGAGACACATTTCCTGTCTGCTGTACCCCCCCCCCCAACAACTTGGCAGGCCCCAGTCTGGCCTCCCTCACATGATCCCAGCATGCAGCTACTGTGGCTGCAGTTTTTATATGAAAAGGCTCAACACTGAATACACAGAGCATTCAAACTAGAGATGCTTAATGCGTGCAGTTTCCTATCCTGTGGCCCTATTCTACTTTGCAATGCTTATCTTGCAAAGTCAATGAGAATTGCACTTGTGGGGGGCAGAGTGCGCTCTCTCTCTCTCTCTCTCTCTCTCTCTGTGTGTGTGTGTGTGTTTTCTCTCCTTTCTCCCATTATGATAAGGTGTTCTAACACTGAAGTTGAGGGATAAGTAACATTAGGTAGGTAGGTAGCATGGTTTTTCACTAAGAGCAGGTGTTTCTACTGGAAAAAGAGACTCAGGAAACATGCCACATCTGCTGATCTTCAGCATAGAACTCTGAGAGAAACATAGTATATGAAGGCCCAGTATCACCATGGTACTTTCCTGGCTTAGAAACTTAAGCACGTTGTTAAATGACTGGCAGTTCCCATACACCTGGGATTTGGGGTGAGGGGCGGGAGGAGGAATGTGTTACAGGCAAATTTGAGATACCTTTCATATTGCAAATAAAATATTGGGGCAGATTCATAGAATTGCTATAATCTCAGTGTTTTATTTCTTGACTTCTATCAGCCTCACTCTACCTGACCCTTAGTTCCTTCCTCTGGTTTCTCTCATTCATTCTCAGGCATCTTCTGCCTTTCCTAATGAAGCTGATTATCTTTTGTCTCTTCTTTAGTTATTCACCTCTGTCTGGCACTTCCCCTTACTTCCCTGCAAGATACTCAAATAGGAACAATAATCTGAACCAATCCTCAGGAGAAAGCTGCCATTAAGGACGTGTGCCTTCCAGGTTGTGAAGTATGGCACTGGTTACTCTGTTGGCATTTCAATTAAATTCAGTCACCCAGGTTAGAAAGGAAAAGAAAAGAAAAGACAAGGAAAGGAAAGCCGACCCCATCCCACACACGCACACAAATCAGCACAGTTCCTGCTGACAGGAACACTGGGAAGTGGTTATTGAATATAAACACACTGTGTAATTTACATGTTAATTATGTTGAATGTGCTACAAGGCCGTAATTAGAAACTAATTGGGTGAGAGCACATGTAATTGGTTTTGCTGGCATAACGGACATTCTCATGATGCACCTGGGAAGTCTTCATAGTCCAAAGGGGGAATTAATTCCTGTTGTCTGCTGTGTCAGTCTCCTGTGTGCAGATACCTTTAAAAACAAAAGAGCAGAACTGCCTATATAAGCCGGTCTGTCTCTCTGTCTCTCTGTGGGTGAGTGTCTCTGTATCTCTCTGTGTGTGCATGTGTGTTTTTTAAAAAATCAACATACTTTGTTTATCAATACAAACTGGCTGAATTATTGACAAAAGTGTCTCCCAGATGTGTCTTGCGGCAGGAATTTAACCATTAATTAAACCATTTTACCTGTGATCTAAATCCAGAACAGTTATTTGTTTTAGCTGAAAGTCAAGCCAAAGTAGTTTCGTGTCCATATAATGCTGGGACAGGGAACTCCTGTTTCACAGCATGAATTTCAAATAATGACTGGATTCTTAACCTTACCAAAACAAACAAACAAAAAACACGGCTGCTCAAAAATGCCTACTACTTATTTGCATATATGAATGTATTCAAAGATATGCAGTTTTTCATTTCTCGGTGTCAAGGCTGTGCTAAAAGATACATTTAGCGCTAGGAACAAGTTTACATTCATTTAATGCCATCAGTATGTGAGGTGTACGGGAGGGCAGAGAAAGCGCATGAACCCCTCCCAAAGATTTGCAATCTAATTAAAGTTTGTAAATACCCCCAGGAACTGAGGGATTGACAAATTGAAAGCCAAAGTAGCACAGAATAGACTATGCCAACCTGGTTACTTGGTTGGACACCCCCTTGATGAGCATTGTAGTCCAAACCATTTGGAGGACACTACATTGATGAAGGCTGGTACTGAAGATACTTTGGACCAGCAGAGAACATTTAGTCACTCCAAGCCTTAGCACCACAAGATCCATGAAAATCTCCTCCAAACTTTCTTCTGTACTGAGTTGTGCTTCTTGAATTATATACAGAGGCACTGACACTCTTAAAAATACTGTCATCCATATTGACAAAATATTGTCACTGCTTAGGGTTGTTTGTGTAGTCAGACCAGCTCTAATGACATACATGTGGCCATAAGGCTGCAGGCAATATGAAACTAAAAGCTTTGCTAGCAAAATAACTTTTGAAGAGGGATTTATAGGAAAGGGGAACAGCTTGATAGTTGTTTTGCACTTTCGGATTGGCTTCTTTAAGGAGATTATATGAACCTGTACCTGTATTTCACAGGATCTGGTTGCCCAGATAACTGAATCCATTAGGAGGAGCCCAGGCTCATGTCCACAGAGTCATTTGGGGAATGTTACTATTGCTTTACAGTACTTCCACATGCAGCCGCTTATAGGATTGCTTCAGGAAACAATGCTGTAAGGGGGGATAAGACTGAATCCAAGTCTGTTCCAAGCACTGGAAGCAGTCTGAGAGAAGGAAGTGGGGGGAATGAGACAAATAAGTCAGAAAATGCATACAAAGGACCCTGCTGCATCAGACCTAAAGTCCAACTAGTTCAGCATTTGGGTCCCACAGTGGACAGAAGCCCACAAGCAGGGAATGAGATCAATAGATGATGAAAACAAATGAAGGAGGTGATGGGAAAGCCCTGGCCAGACTATGCTTAAGGTGCCTATTCAAGTAGCAGAATTTCCATCAGGATGGATGCTTTTGATTTTTGAGAACCAGCCCAAGTAGCGGGTGAATTGACTTCAATGCTGAATGTCTTAGTGCTACTTTGTAGACTATGCTCAAATGATGTTCAGAACAACTGGAATATGAATGTTTTCAATGTCCAGTAGAAACTGGTTTATTTTGACAGTACATTCTAATCATTATAGACTTTGCATGTGGGAAATGCAAAAGCCAGTTTTAGTATTGTTGTGTTAAAATGGCCGTAGAAAAGCAAGGCTGGGCTGAGCTGTTCTGAACTAAAAACAACACTGGAAGTGAACCAGCTGTTATTTCTCCCCATAACCCGATAACAGAGAGTCACCAAAAGCAATTAAAAGGCTGTAAATTTTTAGGATTGATATAGGAGGATCTGCTTTATGAAGCCTATAATCAGCCTGTGGAATGTCATGCCAGCACTGAGTACTGAGCCCAAACACTGTGGGGAACATGGATAAAGGACTGGATATTTTCATGATCACTGGCGTCTTTTATAGCTGGTGGAGAAAAGATAAGAAAGGTAATTTAATTTTGTGCTGTGGGGTGAAACATGATCTGCTCCAGAAGTTCAGACTGGAAAGTCCACACCTGGCTGTGTGTGAGCAGCACAGAGTTATCTGTATGCTGTGCACATATGGACAGGTGTGGACTGGCTATGAGTTGGGTGGGAGGAGAGTAGAAGCTGCCTTTCCTTGGAGGTAAAAATAGAGAATTTAAGAGAAGAATGAGCCAGGAGGGTAGGGCTTTGAATGCAGAGATTTAATGAACATTTTGGCTTAACCCACAGTGTATATTTTGTAAAGCTTAATAAATTCAACTGGTCTATTTTGGAGTTAGTGGGTTTTAGATTGAAGACTTGGGCTAATCCTAAAATAGGTTTCCAGGTGAGATGAGTAGATTGGGTTGGGCTGATATGTTTGATTCAGTAAGGTGAATTTTCTGTAGGAAGGAAGTGGAAGCATTGTGTAAAGGCTAAATACTTCCATGTTGTACTGCTGGAATGTAGATTTTACTTAGCAATTTCCCTACACAGCTTTCAAAAGTTGCTCTTGGTTTTGGAGACCTACGTTTCAGCAGTCAGTCAACTTTCCTAAGAACTAGTCTACTTCTTCCATAGACTCTTTTTTGTTTTAAGCTTCATCAAGTTAAAGTAAAAGACCGACCATAGGTATATTTTACTATCTCCACTGTTGGAAGCAGTCTGCCTTTGAGTACTAGTTGCAGGTGATCACAGGTGGAGAGAGCACTATTGCATCCAGGTTCCACTTGTGGTCTTCCCAAGGGCATCTGGTTGACCACTGTGAGAACAGAGTGCTGGACTGGTGGACCTGGGAAATGATCCAGCAAGGCTCTTCTTGTTTTCTGGTGTTGCAGCTACCAGGGTCTCTGGGAAGTGGTAACTATAGATGCTTTTGTGTAGGTGTCCCTGTCTTTATCTCTTATCTTTAACCAATTACTTCAGTGTTTATCTCATTCCATTACACTTTGGTAAAGGCAAGGCAGTGTTTAAAAGGTTTGTGAATTGA